TAAAAAATCATGTGTCAATTCACGAGTTTGCTCACAGAGCACTTTGATTTTTCTACGAACGTAACTATCATTCAAAAAATTAGTCAATCAAAAAAATTAAAGCTTATTATTTACAATCGTTAATCACAATAAACTAAAGACTCCAATGTATGATTTTCGTGTTGTGATTGGAGTTGAGTGAGAATAGAAGGTGCTTTGTGAACTCACCTGGAATACAATGAAAAAACTGTTTCGGAGGATTTCGAAAAAGTGTACGTTGAGGGAAACCTCGTTGACACCTTTGATTCTGTCTGAGATTTCTGGGTAGAGAGAGGACTTGAGGTGGATACACTATAAAAGGAAAAATAATTACTCACGTAAATTTTGTGAATTTTTTTATTCTCTTATTAGTTCCAAAAACTATCCGAACTTTGATATCTGATAAAACGCTACTATGCAAAAGTTCTTTAGGCCCTTTAGATGTGAACAAAAAAATCAAATCGAACTGCGAAAGCAACAAAATCAGTCGGAAAACATACAAGCACAGAAGTGTTTAATAGCTATATTGCATTGAAGCATTGATGTCAAAGTATGCCCATATTACCTTGACGAGGTTGATACACTCGAAGATGTCGACACTGACGACGAGGTTGATACACTCGAAGATGTCGACACTGGCGACGAGGTTGATACACTCGAAGATGTCGACACTGACGACGAGGTTGATACACTCGAAGATGTCGACTCTGACGACGAGGTTGATACACTCGAAGATGTCGACACTGACGACGAGGTTGATACACTCGAAGATGTCGACACTGACGACGAGGTTGATAAACTCGAAGATGTCGACACTGATGACGAGGTTGATAAACTCGAAGATGTCGACACTGATGACGATATTGAAGTACTTGATGACGACGGTGATGATGAGGAGACACTGAAATATCGATTGTCACCTCGTCAGTTTTTCCATCACTCATGATAATGCACATTTTAAACTTCAAAATCTTTCCTAATCAGAATTGGTATTTGAAAACCATAGTGACTAAACTACTAATACAATGGTGTAGTTATGCGCAGTTGGGAATAAGATACCCATAAGGAAAAAAATTCATCATACCTTGATGAAGATAGGCTTGACGAAGAAATGCTAAAGAAAAAAATAGTGATTTATTCTCTCCTTAGAATCATCAATATCAGCAATGTACATCAGTGTCAAATTCCAGTTTTACAGATGTGTTAAACTGTTATGTTCTATGGAAGAAATAAGCCTTAGGGTTTACACAAATAATGGTGTCCATTTCGTAATTTTTATCAATAACAAAAATATACGATCACTGCTCACTTAAAGTGAAGGAGTTTTAAATTGTTTCTACCTTGTACTTCCTGATGACAGTGAGGTGGAGACAGTTGTAGAAGACGCACTGGTGGAAAGTGATGATGTGGAGTATGTAGAGCTTTGTGGGCTGCTGCAACGTATAATAAACAAAATAAAATAATAAACTTATTAAGATTATTTAGGAGGTAGCTAACAAACATAACAGAGAAGTATACAGCCTCTAGCATATTCACGTATTTCCTTCTCTTCTTTAGCCATGTAAGTAAACATAGTTCTGATTCCTTTGTGCCCTACATCCATAAGGCACTTGAAAACAACCTTGTTTATGAAAGAGCTTCCAGCGATTGAAGTAGGATAATACACCATAACACGAATTTTGACCTTTTCTATTCTATTTCTTTAAGTGTTTACCAAAGGTTATTGAGATATTTAAGAGTGGATATATCTTTGGGAACCATAGCTTTTATATTTGCTATCGTTGTTTTGTAATGATGAGGAAATGTCTCACAGTCGATACTGACGACGATGTCGATGAACTCGACGACAAGTGGTGTAACTTAATTTGGATTGAGTATAATCATTTACCGTTACACGTACCTTGAAGACGTTGACACTGAAGAGGACGTGGAAACCGAACTTGAAGTTGATGCACTAAAAGTAAACAAACCCATTGTGAGCATCGGATTCCTTCAAAGGCTGTTTTAAAATAAGAGGGTAAGTTTCTGAAGAAACTGTACTGCTGCTGTGTGAAAATATAACAGGGTAATTTGGTATTATAAACTGATTTTATAACCTAAATTGGCCACCGTAAATAGTTTCGAACTTTAGCCCTTCGTCAGAGCGAATAGCGAAGGGCTAACGTTCGGAACGTCAGCTTTGAAACTCTTTACAATGGCCAATTTACGTTATTAACGCTGTTTAAAATGTTCGATATTACGCTCTAATCCAAGCAAAGTAAAGTGAGCATTTTCCAGTCTGGGACATAGTATAATTTTGGATTAGAGCTTCTTCTACCCTGTTGCAGCTGGTGTTGAAACACTTGATGAAGTCGTTACCGACGGTGAAGTCGACGCAGCAAGAACCAAACAAGACTTCTCAGATGTGAGTTGCTTATAAAATTGCAGTTTTTTTGTTGTTGTTGTTTTTGGAATTTCTGTCATTTACCAACTTTAAAATATGATTAGAGTCAATCTTGTCTCCTTTTTTTTTTTTTTTTTCATAGATATAACATTATCATTGGAAAGCTTCACGAAGCCTTGAAATAAACAGGAGTGGTTAAATTAGAGATGTCGAGGTATATAATTCTGATGCTGGAATCAAACTGGAATCAAAAATTTGAGGAGTGATTCCGTTTCAGACTAAATGCATGCCTTTCAATCTATTTAAATATAGTATATGCAGATTATCCTTTGTTGCCAGATACGAGTATCAAAATGTTTAGATAAGTTTATGCTATATTTCACTATTTTTATACTCTTTCTAGCTAAATTTAAGTGATTATATTCTATTCTAGAATTCTTTGTAATTTTACTGTGGTAATGGTAATGGTAATGGTAATGGCCAAATCGACAGCTTTCGCTTTTTTGGTAACAATAAACTTTTCCCTTATTTCCTGTAATTCTCCATTTCTTACAAGTTTATGATTTTTTTAAAGTACGTGAAATGTGTGTAGCTGAAGCGTAAATAAATATAAATAAATAAAATTGTAAAAAAATGGTATTACCTTGAAGAAGTTGATACAGACGAGGATGAGGATGCTGATGAAGATGTCGAAATCGAACTTGAAGTGGACACACTGAAATGAAAGATTTTCAGCGCGAGCTTTGAATGAGAAAATTATTTTAAAATATCTCTTAATATGAAATGGCAAAATTTACTGATGCTGGATTGGTCGCCCTTGCAGAACGCAACCGTGTAAAAAATTCAAAGATAGACATTTGAAATAGGCATTCGCCAGTTTCCTTAGGTGTACACATTTTATTACCTTGATGATATTGAAGACGAAGTGGAGATTGAACTGTTTAAAAGAAAACGAAAACAAAACTTATCGGAAGAATTTCATGTTTGATGAAGACAGGTTGGTTGATTATAAAAAAGAAATTAGAATATTGGAATATTAATATAAACTTAAAAATTAAGTCTCGCCTCTAACTAAAATTATTTTCACATGTATCAGTCAAAGAAATACATTTTGAAAAGCAGCAAACTTTATTACCTTAATGATATTGATGACGAAGTGGAAATTGAACTCGACGTAGATACGCTTTAAAAAAGATAGAGAAAAACCATCTGATTGGAGTTCTCAAAGAAGGTAACATAGTACTGTATAATGGGCCGAGGGCATAGAGGGTATGTACTTCTGCTGCTCCGCTTCTGTATTAACTCATCTTAATTTTTAAACCTTTTTCTAATTCTAAAAATCATATAATATTTAATATTTATATGATATGTTTATATTTGATATTTAGATTTTATTGTCCATATGTATTTCGATGGTTTTTTATATATGTATCAAGTGCTCATTTGGTATATTTGTCGCAGTTTCCTAAATCAGTTTTCAGCTGCTAAATATATAAACCCAAGGTTATTTATAAAGTGAACATTCGTGAAGAAGGTGGAGTCACAAACTAAAATTGATCGGAAAATGAAGTGGTGCAACCCCCAGAAAATTTGTAAGTAACAATGTAACAGTCAAAACAGTTATTTTTAGTTTAAAATCTTTGCCGTCTTGCACGATGATTGTGAAGTTGAAGATTACAGCCTTACGTTAATCTTATCAATCCCTAACCAAGCCAGCTCCTTGCAGCTTTTATTAAACATTTTGGCGTTTTTCTCCATTACCAAGCTTATCTATTCTTTGAAAATGTAGTGATCTGCTCGATGCAAATAGGTTTCAACATCTCATATTGTATAATAACCTCTTTCTTACCGAGCGTGAGGATTGCCCAAGGTCATGGCAATACGGACCGAGCGCAGTGAGGACCGCACAAAAACTACCTAGGGCAATATTTCTACATACGGCTGTAGCAATTTTAATAAGTAGTTTACTATATGACAGTCGAAGTCAACTTGTTTATTTTCTGGCTTTCGCGAACAAAAAATAAAAGGCCCATGACCGTTTGCATGGAAACAGTCCATATGGCAAAAAACTGAGCCAATAAGAATCATTTACCTCCGGGCTACCCTCTGATATAGTAATGTACCTTACATGGTTCTATACCAACCTTGTACTTGACATAGATGAACTACTGGTGGACGTACAAGGCCGGTCGCAATCACCCTTCTGCTCAACGCATTTCTTTCCATTGAAGTATGTCCCATTAGGACATGAACAACCCTCAACTCTTGTTCCACGACAGCATCTTTCGTTCGCTACAGGACATTCGTCATTTATTTCGCAAGCAGAAGGAATGGTAATGTTTGCTTCATATCCACCACTGTTTGCGCAGGGTCGGCAACAAGGAAGCTCTGTTAAAATATGGACCAAATTTATGCTGATTGTTAGAGAAATTTTTAATTAATTGTTGAAAGTAATCCAAGATTGTACCGATTTTGCCTATTTTTGCCACCTTATTGGTTTAGTACATTTACCCTAATTGCTATGTTGATTAGAGGTGAGGCTGAACCAATTGCGACCTATTCACCAACGTTTTGAACATTCTAAATTCCAATTCGACCTGGAAACAGTAGACAAGAAGAGACACCTCGTGAAATCAGTGTCCACCGCTGAAATCTCATCCCATAATGTTTCCTTACACTTCAGGTAGAATGCTTCATTTCATTTTTCATTCATCATTATCCTAGAAGGTTGGAATTTCATTGATTTTGGTCATTCCATCAAATGGTGCTCTAATGAACGAAGGACACTGTCAATAGCTCGCAAAATCAATGATTTAAACTAATAGTGGAGGTAAGAGTTGCAATGCTGCATACCATTTGCGGACTGACATCAAGACATGACAGCCTGTCTATTCCAGAATGGTATAGACTTATAAATGACAACGTTGACGCATCCAAGCTAAAATGTCCCCAGGCTAACTTTGAAAAGAGGGAGTAGACCATTTGATATCTATATCTGGCTTTAAAAAAGTAAACACGCGGACCCCGCCACTCAATTCAAATGTCAGAAAACAAAGCACTGCGTTCACAAATTGTCGCTGCTTTGGTAATCCGTCCTTCTGCTTTCATTGTGCCCGCTCTTCAAGTCTGATGAAACGATTCGAGTGTAGCTCTTCATTGAGCTTGGTGATAGCTAGGGGGTGTTTGAAATGACTACTTGCACGGTCGGATTTTGTAGGAACACAATAAAAAAAGATAAATCTCAATTTTCTCTTGGAACCTTAAGACACGACCAGTGTCATAACTTCATTCAGATTTTTAAATATGGCGGAGAGAAAAAATATATTTCAGGAGTTTAATAATCTTTCTTTGTTTTCTAACGAGGCGAGTTGATTGGATAGAAACATCATATAGCAGAATTATCTTTAAATGTCACTCTATCCAGCACTTACCACAAAATCCTTCTCGACGCCACGTGATTGAGATTCCATGCTGATTACAAGCTCTCACATAGGTGGCAATAGCCGCACAGTAGCATGCACAGTCGCCTCCTTTGTTGCACAAACATGTTTCGTGAATACAGGCGTCATAATATGCCTGTGGTGGAACAACCGCGTGACAGGCGGAAAAGTTCTTGTCCGACATGAGCATTCCACATCCTGCATAGAAAAGTGAGACAGACCAAGGATTAATTTTGTATCTATAATGGTAATTGGACCGAGGAGTCCAATTCGGTCTGTAATCATACCAGTGATTAACAAAATCGGACGACCGCTAAGCGGGAGTCCGATTTGTTAATCACGAGTATGGTTACAGTTAGAATTGGACGACAAGAAGTTTGAGAAAGAAACTAGAAACGGGGTATACGTTTTCAGAAAAAAACAACAACAACAGCTAACTGGGGAAATGCGAGACAACAGCGCGCGCACGTTACGCTTACACAAGTATGACATTTCAATTGTCCCTTTAACTGCCCTGTTACACTGTCCAATTACAAGCAGGACGCGTTCACTGTCCTATAACACTGTCCAATTATAAGCATGGCGCGTACACTGTCCTACGAGTGCTCAAATCGGGCTGGTGATAACCAATAACGTTCGAGAATCTTGTTATAGTTTTGATTACTACATGTAATAAAAACTTTGATATAAAGGGTAGTCATAGTCAAAGAAAAAAGACCAGTTTTCAATTGAGTGTCGAAAGTAATACTGCATTGCTTTACTCCACTCTAAAATTCGTCCAGAAACTTTGCACTACTTTCTCAACCAATCACATGCACGCGTTTTCCTGCACTTTGGGCAGTTCGCTTTGTTATTACTAAACGAGAGTGAATGTATGAAAGTCATATATTTGAACTGTGGATAAAGACGTGAATATGAAAGCGATCTTCGCAGTAATGAACACTTCTTGAGAAGTAGTGAAAATAAGGCGAGTTTTGTTTGGCTCTTTAGGGTATTTTCCCTTATTTATTGCCCGTAGTAATTACTTCGGTTTTGCTTTTACGATATTATATACTTGTTTTTGAGCATCTCTGTAAACATCTCTAAGGAAACTTGGAAATTTATAAATATAAAACTTTCTGAGTTACTTCATATTTTCCAATGTTTCCTAACTTTTCGATTAACCTATGTTGCCATTGCCGTCATTGTTCTTTCGAAAATCGTGGCTGTATCATAGTAATAAACAACTCCCTGATCCATGGGACACCAGAGATGAGAGCTAGAGCAATTTAGGGATACTAAGACACTGGTGAACACTGGTTAAGTTTCCTTTATAAAATACCCATTCAGCTCACCTTTTACTGCCCAACTCAATCGGTCAGTGTTATTTACGCACTGTTGCCAATAATCGGTGCTTACACTATTTTCGCATACAGGGTCAGCGCTACTCCTCCAACTATCACCAAATTCTTTAGGGGTTTTCGCGGGTTCGTAATTCCGTAACATAACGTCATCCCCATCCTTTCCGTTAAAGTTACCGCAAATTCCAACGAGTTTATCTTGATTTTTAAACTTGTAATTGGGGGTAATGTAGACTCGGTTACCTTTGTCGAATTTCACCTGTAGTAAGAGACGGAGAATAAACAAATTCAAAGTTGTGATGTAACGGTAATATTAGACCTTCATGCAGTTGAACAAAACGATGCTCAAATTCTACATAATTTTCTCATTCCATAGCTTATCAAATCTTTTCGAATAACTAGCTGATGATCGGTTAGGGTTTGTCAGCCTCAACCTTCAATTTTCAATCTCAGTTCTCAAGTTTTTACCAAACAGGAATTCTGAATTTCAATCATGATTGACTGCCGAGGATAGAAGAAGGCGGCTGTTACGATGAAACGGCCAAAACATCTCGAAATAAAAACAAATAAATCTAAACCAACTGCAATGATAGTCCTTATGACCTGCAGAAACTGGCTATTATTAAAACCTCTGTGTACTGCTCCACATAAAGCTTAAAAGGAGAACTCTGCAAAATGTGATTAATCAGGAAAATAAAGTTACAACAATTTTGACAAACCTCAAACAAGGGTTTGAAAGGCTCGTTCGGGTTGAACACCCGCACGATGATAAATAATCCCATGCTGAAAATCTCTGCATTGTCTAACACACTTCTGGTGCATGGTTCAGGGTAGGTCCCAGGTACATATTGTGTAGACGAGTCTTCGGTTTCGATTTTTATAGTCCTCTGAAAGAGTTCGATTGATCCTTCTCCTGTTTCAATCACTACTTTCTTACACATTTGCAGCTCTAGTGAGTCCACGCATGGCTCGTTTGCAACGCTGACCGTATTTTTGGTGCCCTTTATCAGCATGAGTTGGTATTCGCAGAGTTCGAGGCTACTAAATCTGATCCATCTGCCGTCAAATGTTCGGTAATGCTCCTGACCGAACGCAGCGCATTCGTATTCAGGTAGTGGATCAACATCAGGCTGAGGAATCCATGTTCGTGCGCCAGAACATTTGCTTTAGGAAAAGACAAGATTAGTCGTTATGATTAAAAGAATCACCTTGGAATGTGTTCTTTCTTAGGCTTTTAACTCAAATTTCACAATAGTTACGCTACTTATATTTTATTCCATTTAAACAGTTTGCTATATTCGTCACTAGAATGATTCAGAACATGGTGAAGCGCAGTAAGACCCCTTGAAAATAACAAGCTAGACTCTCCCTTACTCCTTTTTCCCCACCACCTACATCCTACCTTTGACGTACTAGTACTTACGTTGAACATTCCAATGGTGAAGGTTCGCCTTTTTCGTAATATTCATTTTCGTGGATGCATCCACATTGGTCCTTCTGGACGCACTTCTTTTTGTATTCATTCCAGTAAAGACCATCCTTGCAGTGGCATCCAGGTTTGTTATCCACCGGAACACCATATTCCAAACCCAAACAAGTACGTCCAAATGAATTGTACACCTGATCCTCGGCTTCACACTCAACTAGAAGGTTTCATACAATGTAAAAGAGTTCGTGTTAGATTTAAAAAAAACTTGCAATAGACCTTGAGCTCGATTGCTGTTTCCATGAGTCAATTGATGTCATTAAAAGCATCATTTTCAAATTCAGTGCTTTGGGAATACTGTATGATTAAAATTCATAAGTCTGCATTTTAGAATCAAGGCATGGGTTTGGTTTACGGTGACTACTGAAGGGCTTGATCTAACAATCGAATAACATAGCGATCAAACATCGGGCATGCACAGATCGACTGAATTTAGCCAACAGGGCTCCAAAATTATGCGTATGATTTTCAAGGAATAACCAACAACCAGAGTAACGCAAATTATGAGAAGAAAAAATTGACCAACGTTTAAAACAACTGTCAAATAAGTCAAAGGCAGGGCAAAGAAAACTCGACACTCAAGACCAAGCATTTTGATAACGAGAAAAAAAAAACGATTTACCATTTGGTTTCGAGCTTCATCGAAAAAGTTATATGCTTTAAAACACAGACGGGAGACTTAGATGCACAGCCATTTCCTGTGACGAAGGGAAAACGGTCAATCGCCGAGATACCATTACAACGATGCATTGTATGTGTTAATGATATTCATTCCTAGCGATTTTTGTCCCCTATTTTTTACAATCTTTCTTCTTTGATGTCGTTTTATGCTTAAAAGTAAAATATACCAACCCGGATGTTCTGCACATTCATCTTCTTCAATACACTCGTTTCCCCTCAGAACCGTGCCGTTCTTTTTACAAAAGCAACCTTCTATGCATCCACGACTGAAAAGGAAGAAAGGAAATTAAACGAGCAGTTTTTACTTGCTAAAAATAAACGAAAAGGTAATTTTTTTGAGGGGCTGTGCGGAAGTACTGTACACTTTATTTTAATAGTCTTGTTATGGTTTGGTTAGCTTTACAGAGTAAGCCCTTCCCTGAAATTATGAAGTAGGATAAGACTAAAACTTTCGTAGTGAAAACCAGAAGCTACAACAAGAACTTGAATAGGTAACCTCTTCTTTTTGTTCATCGCTTTTCTCTCCGTAAATGAAGATTACCTATCCACTGCCCTGATTAGCCTTTTTATGGTATTGGCGGTGAGAGAGTATGTATAACTTTGTATTTCCGTAAACAGTCATTGCGACTCAGAAGAAACGCCTGAGTATAACATCTTTGCCGAATTTATTGCTACCTCAACTTTATGGGAAAATAAGTTGTTTCTGAGCTGCTAAGTAAGCATGACCGTTAAATGAAAGGTAAATGCACAATGACCAAAGGCTCACACTCACAAGTACGCTAAAACCCTTTTATTTCATCAGATTTGTTTCCAGAAGGTAATCAGTGCTGTTCCAAACTCGTAAAATGTACATTAGATGACTAGGGCTCAGATGGGCTTTGTGCAGCTGACATGTCAATTGTGAGGATATGACATACCTTGAATCCATTTAGCTAACAAATTTTTAAGATTATTTAGCAGATCTGTCAGCTTGAATCGGCCGGATTGATTGACGTTGCTGGTTTTTAGATAACTGAGATACTGCAAGCGACTTAATTGGCCTCTGACTAAGGTTTATTGGTTTATTGTTTGAGAAATCTTACATATTTGGTCGATGAACGGTAGACCGTCAACCCCACTCAGATTTTTTTTGTTTTTTTGTTTTTTTAATGGTATAAACAATGCAGTATAATGTAATAGACCAAAAGGAACATGAAATATTAACAAATTATCGTTTTTCCTTCGTAACTGGGTTTGTGTTCAACCCTATACCCGCTTGAATTTCAAGGTTGGTCTTAGAAGGTAAGTCCTTGCCTGTACTTTGCTATTTAGGGGCGAACCTAAAACACCTGTAAGCTAAAAAGCTGTGAGACTTACTTCTGGCAAGCTTGTTTGTTTTTAAGATCCCCACATGTCTGCGGGCAAGTTGCATCACAGTATCTGAACTCTTGATCACTTGGACAACTCGCTGCAAGAAGAAATAAAGTAAGCTGGCAGAAAGCAAAGAAGGACAGAGAAACCCATTTTAGCAGATCATGTACATGAACGAGCTGACTCGGTTGTGCTTCATTCAAACTTTGTGTTGAACTCTTTATCAAACTGACATTGGAAGAGATAGTAATTATTTGATCGCACTCGAGTGAGTTCAAGGTTTTTGGCGTATTTGGCAAAGACTTGTTGTTGTTAACTTCCCATTTGGGAAAATGAGAAAAATTTAATGTTGGAGACAATCTCGCTCCTCTTCAAATGAAAACATCTTTGGAAGTTACCTGTGTAGGTTGTGCTTCATTCAAACTTTGTGTTGAACTCTTTATCAAACTGATATTGAAAGAGCTAGTAATTATTTGATCGCACTCGAGTGAGTTCAAGGTTTTTGGCGCATTTAGCAAAGACTTGTTGTTGTTAACTTCCCATTTGGGAAAATGAGAAAAATTTAATGTTGGAGACAATCTCGCTCCTCTTCAAATGAAAACATCTTTGGAAGTTACCTGTGTAGGACCTTCATTTGAACACGAGAATGAAAACATAAAAAGAATCAAAATAAAAGATTTACGTACGCTCTTGACATAGATCTATGACCTCTCTTCGTTGCCTCCATTTGAGCACCACAACACCTTTATCTCCGCAAGCTTTGGCGTACCCGGCTATGACGTCGCATAGACTAACAGAGTGCCTACAATAAGCTTCTACGGCATTTTCGTAAAAAACTTCTTTTGGCACCTCTGACCAGCAGGCTTGAAACGGACTGTCTCCGTTAATTAGAATAGAGGCGTGCTTTTCGGCCGCAGGTTCAAGCTCATAATTCCGTCTGCAATAATCCAACTGTGTGGGACTAGCGAGGGCAGGGTCGTCTCCCAGTTGATTTTCCATGCATTTATCTGAATTTTCATCGTAGAAGTTCAACCATTTCTTTAAGAACTCGTTCGGTGTGGCGGCTTCCCCCTTGTCGGGTTTGCGGAAATCATCGTTGCCGTTTCCGTTGAATGTACCGCACAGACCACATGTCTGACTTTGTAGATCAGGAGACACGGATAAAAAAAGGTTTTGATCGGTTGCGGTCATTTGAAAATAGCGAGTGGACAACACTACACTCTTTCCACCAACGTTTTCCACGGACATATCTTCATCCAAGGAACCGTGGGTTACAAAGATTTGGGGATCCGATTTGAGTTTCCTGACAATTTTTATAGCTGTTTTATTTTCACCAAAAATAACATCTATGTCTTGACTATTGCAGAACGGACGCACGATGGTTTCCTCGCAATCAGTGTTTTTTATTCTGATATCAAATTCAGATTGTTCGTTGTGACAGTGTCGCAGCAAATGAAACTCACAATCCATTGGGAAAACCCTGTACCTTTGGCCATCAAACGTCTTGATATTGGTACTTCCCAGAATGGTACATTCACCTTTTAAAAAATCCACATTTCAAACAGCTTACAAGTGCTATTTCATTGTAGCATTAGTTTAGTTATCTTTTCTTGTCTTATTTTTGTCTACTTTTGTCTAGGTTTCAAGTCAAATGAGTACAATCTCGTTTTTTATCACTTCTACCGACCAAGCAAAACTGAGACCTAAAAAAAACCAATACAATATCTCAACAAAGCTATATAATCTTCTAGAAGAGAAAGACGGATCTAAGTAAACGGCAACTAACCTACACCGCTTAAAGAAACTAAACTGGCAGCTTCGCTAAGGAAAAAACACCATAATGACGACAAGTTCAAACTTAATCAAGTCTTGATAATGAAGAAGAGTTTGTTATTTAATAACTTTATTACCAAATAATATTCCCTATTCATCATTTTGATTTCTCAGTCGGCCACTCTTCGCCTGAGTTCTTTAGTCTCCAATCTTGACCGAGGAGACAAACGAGCTTAAGCATAGGAAATATGACATAATACCCACCTCTACAAGGAATGGAAAAACAAGTCCACTTTCCTCCTTCGCACTTGCTGGAAAATGGAAAATACTTTTATAAGAGATGTTTAGAGGAAAGTGAAATTCTTTAACGCGTTTGGAAACGAGGGTTTCCTCTCTCCCGGATTAAACACAACGTCATCTATTTGTAGAAATCGCAGCTCACCAGAACATTTAGTGGTATGTTGAGTAGGTAACTTGACTAACGGAATAACACAAGTTACGAAGTTGGAAATACCGGCGCTCACTTAAAGGAATGAATATTTTCGCTGCCCAAAATTTGAGTCTCCAGAATATAACGTAAAGGTAAAGTTTCAGATAGAAGCCATGGTTTACTTTTTTTCTGAAAATTGCATGTTTCTTAAAGAATACGAGATGTTGCAAATTCCGTTTTAGAAAATAGTTCCGTCTTAATTGAAATACTACCACTCAACGACTTTTGTCTTTTAGGCTTGATATTTTAAGAAACGAAATTTTAAACGTATCAGATTTTTCCCTTGGTCACGAAGAATACTAATAATAATAATAGCATTCGGGTCAAATCCCGCTGATAACTAGCTTACACTGTTTGCCATCATAACTCGAGTTCAGCTATTGTTAAAGAAGGCGGATGGTTTGCTTCCGATTCTTGCTAAACAGTTTCGAATATTATTTCATATTTATTTATGTAATCAAGTCAAAACAAAATACGCTGCATTAGAGCTGTTCAGCTTACCAGGCTTCGCAATCTTCGTAACGAAAGTCTCCGTGTTCATAACGTGTGTTATCGTGGTAACAGGAGCATTGAGACTGCTTCACGCACTTCTCTCCGTCGTGCCACATCTCAGCGGGACAAGTGCAACCTGGCAGGCATTTAGCGGAGCATTTTAGTATGTCCACATTTTTGCATGTTCTAGGACATCCACTGGCACATTCGCTGTACTCCATAGTTGCTGGACAGGTTTTTTCTGAGTGGCGAAAGAAAACAACACTCTTCAGATGGCTTAAAAATGCAACCGCACACTTGTTCGTCTAAGCGAACGAATTATTTGTAAATTCCTGGGTAACTAATTGATTGAGCTGTCACCAACCAGCCAACTGACTGACTGACTCAGCAAATGGCTGACTGTCTACATGTTCGGGATGTTAATTAAACTCAAGGACCGATTCACTAAGTTGCTGACCTGAGTCTTGAGCGACTAATTGATTGAGTTGCGAGCGAGCGACCAACCAACTTATTGTCTAACCCGGCTCACTTACTAACTGGTCATTATCTGACGGAAAGAATAGCTGAACAAATGACTGACTGCTTGACTTATTTGCGTTTGCAAAATGCGTTTTACTTACGACAGAGGTTCTCTGATCTCCAGTTCAATTCTGTGTTATTCCAACTGCACTGTCGACTGTAGAGGGACAACATCGCACATCTTGTCTCATCGACTAAGAGAGGTGCTTTGACGGCAGTAGCGCAGACGTCTAATATGCACATTTTTTTGAAGATTTCAGGATCCACCACGCTATGGCAGGCCTCGAAGTCTTTAGTGTCCAGAATTGAGCACAACTTCCCCGCCTCAGACTCGTTTTCATCACAGGTGTCCCCTATCGTAATTTCATCTGACTTACACAGGGTGTTGCCAGGGGAGTATATGAAACTATTAGCGAAGTCGTACACCTTTTTCATTAACTTTTTTGTATTGGATTTCAGATCGTCAGAGTCGTCGTCATTGAAACTTCCACACAGCCCAGACGTGTCCCACTTTGACCTGACTGCCTCTGGCAGGCGGATGTCTACTGACCTTTCTCCGTCCCATATGACTGTGACCCTATCTTTTGTGGTTACAAGGATATGATGCTCTGCACCTTTGAATGGAAACTAGAAACGAAAAAAATTACTACTCCTGAGGGAGTTTTGAAATAGCTAATTTTCTTGTTGCCATTATTTCTTCTTGGCATTCGCTTATTCATTCACAGTACAATATAATATGAAATAACTGGATATTCTTCCCCGCTTGGAATGCCTAGAAGGCGAGCAGCGCCGCGTGGGCTATAAAACCTTGTTAGTGTCCGACGGGCGCGAGTTTAAATTTCTTTAAATTGATAAAATATTATGTGCCTGCATGTGCACTCTACAGTATCTTAAGGATAGCCTGTGAGATCACTCATTTTGAGTCAGGTGATGTGACGCAAAAGAAGATCTCAAAGGAACATGATCTTCTTTACGAAAAAGTCCCTCTACCTCTTACCCCCTAAATTAACTCTCTACTTGCAATTTAGTTCGCCCATCTTCCTTCAAGGAGCTTTTATCACCTTACCGCGGGATTACCAAATAGTTTTAATCTTGCGGTCGGCCATATGGGAAATGTTGTCTTGGGTAAAACTACGAGGGAGCGAAAGTATATGGCCTTTATTAACCCTTGAATGCAAAGTTTTAGTTTGACTCGAGAGCATCAAATCATTCCAGATTCTTTTGAATCAATGAATTTTTCCCACCCTTGCAGAATTTTACTGGTATTTTCAGCTAACGTACAAATCTCAGGCAGCTTGTTGCGTAGTGAATAAATAATGTGGAATTTGATGGTAGTTTCTTTCCTTAAAGATGCATAGACTCCATCTTCAATAGATAGTGGGGAACGTATTTCCCGGTGTTGTGGCCTCGCCTTTAGATTGTATGCAATGTGTTCAGGCCCCCATTTAAGCTAGTTTTAAGCTGAACTAGGCGAGCCTGTCAAAATATCGCGAATAAATAACTACATACTTGAGCTTGAATGTGTACTGCTTCAGTCGGATCTCTGTACGGAAATGAGACTGGAGAGCCTCCAACTTTGACATCAAACTTTCCACCTTTCTTAGGTCCAAGTTCAACGCTGACGCCGTGAGCGAAAAGAAGCACGGACTTCTGACACGCTAACGTGGGGTCGCATCCAAAATCATTTTTTAAGACTACTTTCAAATAGTCGGGATTATTCTCCAATTGAACCAGGGTGTAATCGCATTTGCCGTGAAAGGCATACGTCACGTTATCAAAGGTGTTGAAGTATGCGTTTCCAAAGACTGAGCAAGTTGCATAACCTGAGAATTCGCAAAAAGATAGTCGACGTTACGTTATAACCTTAACTTCAGGAAAAAGTTGAAAGAAGGGAGAATGTGGATGGAGCTCCTTCCAGAGTTCAGAGTAGCATTTTAGATGGGCCATACTGATAAGCTGATATGTTTTAATAGTCTAAGCACTTGCCTACAGGATAATTTGCTGATTGTCTAGGATGTAATTACATGGTAATCCTTGCTGGGAGTTACAAAGATCCCAGGAATGATCGCTACGTTAAGGAAAAAAATGTTTCAAAACTTACTCTTTATCGCCCCCTTTATCGGTTCTGTAAATTTGAAGCCACCAATGGCTTCATCGCCGAAGATAGATCCTTTTACTGTGAAGATCAAGCAGGATAAAAAAAGTGAGGTATAATTTCAAGGCATGGCCATAGTTGTAACTACATTAGGACATATAAAAAAATGAAGGTCACCCTCTCTTACAAATTATTCATGAAATAAATGTATTCTGTAAACGACGGAAAAGCATCGGTAATCAGGACATTACAGTAATAAGCACGTGAAAGTGGGTACATACTTAAAGATAAGAAACAGCCGTTATTCAATAACGTCTATTGAATTTTTTTGGTACTTTTTGAAAAAATCGATTTAGGTGAGCTTTGAACCTTCATTTGAGTATTTGAATATTTTTCTCTACCTCAAGCTATTCTCATACTAATAATCAACATACCATGAAAAAGTGGGAACGAGAAGCAATGATATAAAAGCCATCGGAGAACATTTTTTCAGAGTTAGACAGGATCTACCCAAAGATCTACATGTTTCTATAAATGACTCATAGAGGAAAGGCAAAATTTATAGACATAGGGATTAAATTACCTCTCACTCCTAAGGAAAAATCTAGTAAGAATGGTGATCAAACTTTCGAACAAACTAATGTCACGCGACCATGAAGTGCATACTTACAGTTGTTCTCCGCTAGACAGTCTTTCAGAGTGGCATATCTATTTTCGTTTCCGAGACAACCTCCGTAATCAAACTGTAAGCACGAGCGAGTATCAGATTTGAAATACCAGCGCTTTTCAGTTTTAACATTGACTTCTCCAAATTCCTCCGGCTCCCATAGTTTGTAACAAAGACCTCCTGTTAGTCTTGGTACTAAAAGAAAAAGGAAATTCTCGAAAAATGTATCTGAATTTAGCTTCTAATCAGTTCCATAATGAAATCACGAAATGTTTGAATAACTAACATAAGATACCATTTCGAAAAAGTTGCACCGACCTTAATAGAGCCACTGAATATGTCATCCTAAATTTGCGAATAAGTTTGTTTTTGTGGCCACTGGTTGGACAACATATCACTGAAAAGGTTCTGGCAACTGAAGGCAGATTGCCTTTGACCAGCGGAACAAACGTGTAACTTTCTCTGTTTAAGATTTTATGCTTTTATATTATTATTATTTTTTATATTAATATTATTTATATTCATATTATTATTATTTTCATTGTTAATATTAATATAATCCTTATCGTTCTGAATCTCACATTTTGCGGAAAGAGTAATTTTGTACGCGCAAGTTTCCGTTAGAACCATAAATCAGCGATAAAACTTACTACACTCGGTTACACAGCCTCTTTTAGTGTAAATAGAATTGTTATCGTCACAGTTCTGGTGTAGTTGCACTAGATATCTGAAGCAATGGTCGGTATTAGCCGAATAGCCACGTTTCCGCAGGATACTGTCAATGGCTTCCAGCAAAAAAGCCTTGTTTACTCCTGAATCTGGTGCCAGGGATGATGCCTGTTCCGGTTTTAGTGGCGATGACGCATCCTCCACTGTGAAGGCGATAAGACAATATTAAAGGATTTACCAACAATAATACATATGTTTTTTTTAAGGCTAAAAGGCTGATTTGGGTGGACTTTTCTCTTTATCCTTTAACCAATTGTGCTTACACTCTTACGGAAATATCGAAATTGAAATTGACTAAAGGTTCAGATATCACTAAGAGCATTCTAAGTCTCAGATATTGTTAAGAACATTTCAAGCGTATTGCAATTTTTTGTTAATTACCTTGGTTAAACCTTTCAAAATTAGTGTTCCACAAAACTAGCAAGTGAGACGATCAATCGCTCACTACGGGAAAGTCTGTCCATACTGTACTATTTATATGTAATATCTTTTAAACGGAAGATTTCCCTGCAAGCTTCCGCTTGACATCACTCTCTGCTGAAGGTTTTTCCTTTTTAAAAAATCCAGTCCATATAGAGTCTTGCCACTTTTCCAAGGCAGGTAAGATGATAAGAAAACACCGTTATGCAATCAATTAGGTAACATATGCGAATTTTTTTTTAAAAGTAAATCAAACGTTTTTTACCTTGGATGGGAGGAGAAAAATAACCTGAACATTGCTCAGAAAGCAAATATGAGAGTGAAACAATTCTCAAACAAAATAAATTACTTTTGAATTAAGTCCTTGAATGGAGGACTGGTATTTCAATGAAGGAATGTTCGAAGGAAAAAATACTCCGTGCTGTGAGTAAATCAGAATTCTTTAGAAGCAGAAAAGTGCTTTATTTTTGTATATTCTGGTTTTTATAGCACAAAGAACTCTCTAACTGAACTCATATTTTCTATGTTTTGGCGGCTATTTCTGACTGCATTACCAACCATGTCCTAGACTTACGAACTTTGACAGTCCGCCCCACACAATTTTCATATCTTGCAAATAGGTAAACAGGATTCGCTTGATTTTGCCCACAGTCACTCTCAGTGATATAATATAAAATTTTAGAGCTCAGTAATGCCAATAGGGGGCTATACTGCTGTTAGAAGCACAAACCTTAAGTTCTTGCGTGTGCGAAACCTCACTTCTTGGCCGTTCGTTACTTTTTAGACGAACAGAAAATTGTGCAACTGTTCGTGGAAAAATCTGAAATTTATTTGTACCCAGGTCTTCTGTCAAAATGGAACTTTCAAGACGTCCACATTTAGTTGTAAAATCTAACGGGCAGTAGAATTTTCCAAATGCAACACAGTCTTACTTGGATTTAGTACGTTTGGTTTAATTTTTAGCCTTGGGTGGCTTTGTTTTGTGAATGGAAGTAGAGTGAACTCCTTACTTGAAACCTCACCGTAACTTAGCTTTCAGTTATCCAATTAGTTTGGACTCGAACATGTTAACGAAAATGAATTTTTTTTTACATTTTCCCAACGCCAGCAAATACCGAAATTTGCGTTTAATACTCTACCCTCAAAGCTTCTCCAGATTCTAAAAGCAACATCTTGGATTGACCTATGCCCTTGACTTCAAGACCAATTTTTTTTTTCGGCCAGATGGGTTGCCATGTTTTCTTAGTCGTAAGGCCTCGCTGTGCGTGCTTTGCTAAAAAACTCGACGCGACAGTACAGTATATCTCCATGCATTCGAGAAATAATTAGGTCGAAAAATAGAATTATTCAACTTGATTTTGCTGGCGAAAAAACGTTTGTAAAATGAGTTAGGCATGTCAGACGTTTTAGAATCTTCACTGAACAATTCAAAGAAATTAAGTAAACAAAAGATAGAAACACGTATCATAGAAGTGTCTAAATCTTCGGAAACAGCCTGCCGCTTTTTTTAGGCTACTCATCTGAAATGCGAAGAATCAGAGATATATGAATATGAAAATAAAGCAAGCAACCAACAAAAAAGTTGTGTTTCTGAAATCTTCTAAAAAAGCTCAGAGAAAATAAAGTTTGAGGCACAAAACTTGCCAGGAAAATCAGTTAGCTGGCTCTTTTTCGACTGATCTTGGACCTCGCTGGTTGAGAGGGCAACGAAAGAAATCTATTGAAATGTGAAGTTGTTCACTGCCCAGACCCTACCTTGCCCTCATGTTTTTAACAAGCCTCGTTTGATTGAATTTTCTTCTGAAAATAACGCACTTTCATGCGAGGAACTAAGTGTAATACGGATGTCAAAACTCTCGCTTATTTCACATTCTAATATCGAAGAGCATCCAAACCGATACTTTCTCGCTTTGATAACCCCCGGCAGTAGGACAAACTCGTGCTTCTGGGAAGAATTAGTAGGGTGGACTACTAATTTTGATGTGGATTATGCGATTATGTCATGAAACATGATAAGAATATGAAAAATTTTTTCTTTTTTCTTTTATTTCAAACAATGAAGCAAGCACTGGAAAAGAAGAATGATTTGACACAAAATTTGAAAAAAAAAATTCCAAAAAATATTGGATGAAGATGATTGACTGAGACTGTACACTAACCCAGTAAATACAATTTTTCACCTTCTTTCTTAATCGGAACCACTTTAAAACACCTCCCACATCTTGGAAATTCCGAAATTATAGATTTTGCGGGTTACAAAAGCGATTTAAAAAAAAGGGAAAATTGATTTAGATTCTGGAAAAATATCAAAAGCAATAACAACTTGGCATCTAAAAGCGAATCCACAGACCTTTGCTTTTGGATGTCAATGACGTTTTGATCTATTTTGGCCGTCGGCGATTACTAATTTTATCTATACTCTCATGAAACTATTACGAAACAGCACAAATTGTTTTCGAAAATAAAATCGGTTTAGACTCTGAAAAAACCCATTTCAAACCATTGGTACTGAATTTGACTACTGACTATCGAGCCTTCTTTAAAACGTTTGTCAGCGATAAGGTAGCTACAGAGAACTGGTAGAAAACTGTCTAAAAAAACAGCGAAAAAGAGTTAAAGGTTGTTAAACTGTTTCAAATATTTCAAATGCTTTAATTTTTTATTAATATTTATATTTCAGACTTTGGTATAACTGAATTTTATTCACCTAATATAGTATCTACCAGCACTGTAAATATATATTCCTTAATTTAAGTTCGTAGAGATGCCATTGTTAAGAATAAATTAGCGCCAAACTTTCCATTCTTTAACCAATTGATTTAAACGTAAATCGATCCACCGACCAAGAGAAAAGAGGCAAGAAAAATTCAAGAGATAACGCCAATTGAACAATTTCTAAAATGAGGAAGCGATTGAACAACATTTGAAATAAGGAGAAAACCATAGATGTACCCGATTGCAATCTGAAATTTTTTAAATTGTATTTGTCGTTATCATTTTATCGAGTTTATCTATGGTTTTTTGTGAATTTAATGGATGATGCCCAAGGGTGATTTTCTCTTAAACATCGTCAAGGTTTGCTGCCAATAATCTGCCAGTTTAACAATGGACCCGACTGAATGCTCCAATTAGGAGGACAAGATACCCTCAGAGAGATTCCAGTTTTTTTTTTGCAGGAAATTGGGAATCAATTGTCTTGATTTGGTCTCGCAGCATGCATTCAATACAGGGTTGGGTTCCTATTGTAAACCGGCAACACATTCTCGCCACCCAGGTGGCAAAAACCTATGACCTGTTAGCGCACGATAATTTGTGAAAGAAACGACTCCATTCTATGCAAGTAAAAGTCGTCGATTGACTACGTGATGTGTTATGCAATTCTCCTAAATTGACTTCAAAAGATTACAATGTTCCTTGGAAAGGTTTTGTATGTGATCTTAACGCTTTAATCACGGACAAAGTTTCTGGCGGTAACAAAGCAAGGCCTCAAAAGGACGTACAAGAGACATGGTTATTAAATGAAATAGTAGTCTACAAGAAGAGACGTTCAACGAGTTGACAAAACGCTTTGTCTCAGCGTTTGGCGTTTCTTCCTGCGTGCCACTCTACTCTCTCGTTTTTCTCTAAGAAAAAATAATTAAAAATTCTGGAGATCCTGTAGAGGATATGATTAGGAAATAAACCAGTGCTCAAGGTCTCATTTGATTCACGTGAACAGCTCGTGGGATTGTCTAATTGAGGAACGTAAGTATCCTCGAAAGATACTACAACATGAACATCAAAAATGTTTGTGAAAATATATCTATAGATATCTAGAAGAATATCCTTAATAAAGCTCAGAACAACAAACTTTCAGCTAAACAGAATCCACTCAAAGTCTCTGCCTAAGGGGTTGCCATGTAAACTGAAAATTTAAAACAAACCTGCAAATGCAATTATGCAGTTACCTCCCTTGATCCGATAAATTCATACCACTCAGATATTTTTTATCGGGTAAAAGAACAGCTTGCTTCAGTAAAATTCGACAGTTTATAATTATATATATATATATATATATAGCAATTTCATACTATTTTAAAACGGTAGAAGTTTCATTTGCCTTAATTGTCCCATCCCATGCAAAATGTTACTAAGGAAAATATTTTTCGCCGATACTTACGGCTTCTTAAAGATCGTTGATTTTCAAGTTGTACAAGGCTATCGACTTCTGTTTCAAATGTCTTTTCCAAAGTATACCTGGCGGACAAAATGTCGAATAAATTTTCAAACAAACATTTCAAGAATCTAAATTTCATAACCTGATAGCTAGTAACAGTAAGAAAATGCGGTAGTTAAGAACAGATGAGTCGAATTTTCGCAGAGAACGAAAAATAAAAGGTTGGAATTTTCTGAAGAAGGTTGCTTTATTTAACATTTAATTACAAATAGAAAAAATATATTTCTCCCTCGCAACCTGGATGATGCTAGAAATCGACCCTCTGGCATCAATAAAAATGTCTTCATTCCGATAAGAGTTTCTTTCACTCGTTTGGAATATTATCATGACTTTTTTAGTTTTCTTTTACAGGAGAAGAGGCTCAGTAAGTTTTAATAAGCCTCTTTATATTCGTTTCACTGATCAGTTAAAACCCTCGGAAATAATGAAATCATCAACTGAAAATTTCGACCCACAAAAATTTAAGCTTCTTCGAGGGTGTTTATTCACTCCAGAATGATATTCAAACATAGTTATTTATTGCATAACATATGTTATCCTTAGGTATAAGAAGCGCCTAAAAATGGCTTTGAATTTTGCGACAAATTTTCGCGAGACATTAATACTAGTTTCCAAATTCTTGATATACAGAAGAAATTTTATATGATTAAAAAACGCTGTTTCAGTGAATTCACAGGGTTTACCACATCAAATCAATTGCTCTGTTCATTTATTCTACTCGCGTACCCATAAAATGGAACCCTCAAAATAGAAATATTCGCTTTTTCCAGCGAGTTTCATGTCATAATGTATAGATCCTAGATGCGTTTAACTCCTAAAATTATTGGAAAATAAAACTTACTCTGGTTCAGAAAAGCCAAAAATTGACAAGAGGAAATTTATGCAATATATGAGGCGGTTTTTTCACTAAAATAAGAAATAGTTTGCCAATAAATTTCATACAGTAACACTGAAGTAAGAATGAAAAAAATATCGTTTTTACACTTACCCAAATGCACTGACTGTTTGTATTCCTTCTTGAAGCAACGCAGCGAGAAGAGCTAGTAATAATACTGAAGTGCCCAGCTTTAGTTTTACTCTTTTGTACATTTTAATAAACAACCACCTTACTTCTCCTTTAACTAGGGAACCTTTTTTTAATTCTTTTTTACCGAACTGTATTTCAGAGGAAAGAAAATTTCCCTGTCTGATATGAAAAGTTCGTAAGGTCTACCCCTAGCCGAAGCTTAGTGGAGTATGCTTTGAGTAAACGAATTAGAGGGTTCTAATATGGGTAAACATTCTTTTCCAAAACTTTAAATATCTTAGTGATAACCCACAAGTCTCACTCCAGGTGATGGCAATCCTTTCAATTCACAATTTTAAAGTTTCCTTGACAATATTCAAAACTTATCTGTCCAGAATTTATTTTTTAAAATTTCTAAAGAGAGTAAAAAAAATAATTTGGGTCCTGTATTTTATTTTGGTTAGGGTGTTTTTTTTGCCACAATAAACTTCCAGTGAAGGAGTGTATTCGTTACTTCACTACGGAATATGACGGAGAAAGTTGCATTTAGTTTGGCCTGTAAGTGATATCTTGAAGTGGCATCTCTACATCGGGACAAATCCTTTTGTACCCAATAACTTATTTTGCAGCAACAACTTCATAAACTCTCCTTTAATAGTCGAATAATTTTTGCATGTTCTCATGTTTCCCCTTCTTTTATTTTGAAATACTTAGTTATGGAAAAACACAGTCATATTAAAATCAGTAGGTATCGTCCATCGGTCCGTGTTCCTACGAACAACTCGTACAAAACAAAAAAATTTCGTTTTTAAAAAACAATTTAAACAAACGCGTAAACGCAAGATATTGCAATTTATATGTAGACGGCTACAGAAAAGAAAAATTGATATTAGCAAATTAAAAAGTATGCAGAAAACAAAAAATAAAAATAAGCCTTTGGTAAATAGGATCTTGCCTAAAAACTGTTGCGTTTCCCATCGATGAAAAACACGAATATTTTTATTCGCTGTATCATTCCCTACCATAAGCATTTTTAGAGTGATTAAAATCGCCCATTTTAAGTCGTTCTAAGTTGAAAATGTGTTCCCGATAATGTTTATGTAATTCTCAAAATGCGAGACCATTGAAGACTTAAAGTCACAAATCAATTTAAGTTTATACGAAAACGCTCAAAGCAATCAGTGGGAAACTGTGATGACTTCAAGATGACAGTTGTGACCAATTTTACGGTGAAAGAAAACTAAATATAAGAAAAATTCAGATATTATATCAAACAGATGAAGTGAAAGATCTATGGCTTCGATTAGTAAGTAAAACGGATCTTTTTGTTTAGTGTTAAAGCACTCATTTGCATTTAAATAGAACTTTTAAACTAGCCATTACTGTAAGAATTTGTAATCACGAATTGACAGATTTCTGTCCCTTTTTTGTTCGCGTTCACAAAGACCTTTGCTCAGCCATTGGCCTTTTACTTACAAAACTGTTGGTGACCAAATTTCACAACACCATTAAATTGAAAATTCTGCATATTCTTCCAAGTTCAAATCTAAAGATTATCGGAAGAATTTTATTTATCAATACAAATGGAAATTAAATTGTACATTGACATGAATTCGACCGAAACTGTTTAACATAACGAAGAAGCATTAATTTTCTTTTTCTTTAATTGTTATTTCTTTCATTTCATCGAAAAATGCGAAAGAGTTCAATGACGGCGAAAATGCTAATTCTCCTTTCATGTTGAAAACGAATTTATTTTTGTACCTATCATTAGTAGATTTGACGCTTAGTTACCATTTACAAGTATTTCATTTATGTCAGACGTCAACAGCTACTGTGAATTAGGATAATTATTTTCTCAGTGTTTTCACGAAGTGCTTTCTTCTTTCTTCTTAAAGTTGCTTTGCTTTTCGACAGTTTCATATTTAAAAAAAAGAAGGTTCAATGGTTTGCAGTCCCACTTAAAATCTTTCTTACGTTTTAAAGAAACAATCACAAGACCAAGGGAATACCTTTTATTCCGTAGAGCAAAATACCAGTAAGGAAATTAAAACTCGTAAATAGAGGAGAATGGTATGGTGTCTTCAACTTCTTATGCTATGATATGTAGGTCAGCAAATGAAATACCATTACAAGTGAATTAATTAGTTGGCTTACGCGAAGTTAAGGGCTTAATCATATCATATTTATTATTTTTGGTCCAAATTATTATAATTTTCCCCAATAACAAGAAAGAGTTGAGTTGAGCTTGGAATTAGACTCCTCTCAAGCTTATGGAAATTATCCATCACTTTCACGTTATAACGTTCACGGTCGCCACGTAATTTGGGCATCGCTCTGAAGAACTTCACAAAATGACCTCGAATGACCAATCAGGTGAAGCCAATCACGTGTTATCAAGGCGTCTAACAGGAGGTGAAAGTTCTCTTGATTTCTAACATGGTAGACGAAACTTCTAGCAAAAAACTGATGTGATTTTGAATCGTGATAGTGATGGCACAGAATCTTGTAGAAAACAAACAAATTTAGTTTTAGATAAAAGGAAAAACTGTGACCTACCATTTTGTGGAAAAGCATGGTACCAAAAAGTTTTTAAGTGTATTTATAACGATTGCATCGAAATCAAAGTCCTCTACGTGAACTATTTGTGTTTATTTAGGAATTGACCAATGAAGATAACGAACCACGTGAAAATAACGCGTAGTTCACGTGCACGAGTCCTCTCTATCGTGAAAAGTTGTCCTTCATACTTTACATCGAAAGATCCTTCCTGGGAGATATTCATAAATCAGTGTGAATGTAGGTGAGAAAAGTAAGAAACGATAAAAAGAAATTATGCCATTTACCTTGCATGAGTAGATTGGAAAAATATGATCGAATATTACTATTTAACCATTTACTCCCACACTCTTACATTTTAATCCTTACTCCTTACATTTCCTATCGTTCTGAAAAGGACGATTTGACAATCGAGATATCTTCAAATTGGTGATTATTTTTTGCATTCGCATATTTTCTTTTATTGATTCAAGAGTGTTACCACAAGGAAAATTAGAAGCTTGTAATTCTGAGGTATTAAAGGGTTAAACAGCAGAGAGACACAACAATCGGAACCTTGCCACGTTTCAACCTTGTTCGGCAATTAACTGGATTATTATTAAAGTAAACGTAGTTCATAGTGAGTGACTCATTGGTTTCTTCTTGAAAAGGCCACGTTATGTTACTTGACTCGAGCTCAAAAAGAAAATATTATCTGAATTAAAATGCAAAATTTCAGCATTTCTTAATAAGAAAGCCAATGTTAAGACAGGTATCATTTAACATTACTCTGTATTATACTGCGGAGAACTTCTGACGAGCGGGGTTTACATATAATTTAGATCACTAGGTAACGTACTTTATTAGCAGGGGCATGAATCCTCTTGGAAGTCAATTCATGCATACCTCACCATGAATTATGAAAAGGAGCAAACAAGCAAAATTGTTAATTAGTTATTTGTAACAGGGAGGAGGCACCTAGTTGAACTGTTAAATTAATTGTTATTATTTTCATAATTATTATTGATCTTATTTTTATTTCTTTCATATGATATTTAACTCGATCACTAACAAGTCGAGTAAATATACATATATATATAGGAATGCCCTTCTCCCTCCCCTTCCAGTGATAAATTCCAAAAACAGTCAGACAAAATCGCCCCATGATTATTCTTGGATTCAGGTGTTTTAAGTAAGTGTCAAAAACGGGGACCGTTTTCATCTTCTCCTATTCAATTGACATGAGAGTAAATGAGACAACGATAATGACTAGATTAGATGTGCAAATAAAAGGAGCATTGAGATTCCCACTTTTTACTTAAAACTCACAAATCTCATGACCAATTATCAATTATCCCCTACTATTGGAAAGTAAAACCTCCGGAATATTCAGAGTATTCAG